AGACAACTAAACAATATAACCAGGTCTTTATTCAAGATAGACTGTCAATACACACAGACCTCTTTATAATTGCATATATTTTATATCTTATTAAGAACCCTTTCTGTTTCGCGATCTTTCCGTTGAGTGTTAACTGGCTGCAACCACTGTTTCACACTGAAACACTTTCTGTGGTTCAGAAACAGATTTTATTGTGAAACAGTGAGGAGGTGCTAATATTAATTACCAGCAGGCTAATATCAAGGCGGCAAAGTAATGAAATAAGTCATTTACAGTAATTCTTGAGTGAATGAATCACTGAGTAAAAACGGTGTTTGAGATCCTGCCGTTATGTGAGCTTTGTTTTTTTATAAGTTCAGTAAATAGATGCCACCCCTCCTCATCCAAGAGTAACTGTTCAGCAGTAAACACAGCAGTCACTGATGAAAGCACACTTCTGTGTTGTGATGATTTGATTTCATTGTGGGTCACAAAATAGCAAACTAATACTAGCAATCACCAGTCCACATTCACGTCATCCATAAGCTCTCATGACAGCTGTTGCCCATCCTGCTGCATCCTTGAGTAAGCACACTTAATCAGTATAAATAAGTTGTGCTGTACATCTTGTTTTGCCCTTGAATTAGCACAAAAATGCACTGCTCTTCACTAAAGATACTATATCACATTATCTGCTGTATACAATATGGTAATGCTCCAAGCATCTACAGTACTTAAACCAACATCAAAACACGACCTGAGATTTACCAGCTCATACCCTGACCCCTACATGATCTCAGGCAAAATCCTTATCTCCCTGTAAACAACTCAGCCGTCTCGCAACAAATGAACATCAACAAAGGAGCCCTGGCTGCTCTGAACTATAAACACACTGCACAAAATGGCCTCCATCACTCAGAGCCTATTAAACCAGTAATATTTTTTTTTCTAAGCTTGAGTTGGTGTATCGTCAGCCCCACAAGCCGAATGACCAGAAACCTGTCGCTCTTTGAGCTGAGCTCAAACAAAACTGTTTCCACTGTTATCAGATATTAAATTTAATGACATTTAATCATATGTTGACCTGGGCATGGCATATATATATATGATAGATATGAAGCAGCTCAAAAAATATTATGACATACACACTCACCGGCCACTTTATTAAGTACATCTGTATAATTGTATGCACTTCAGTGCGACACTTCTGCTTTAACATCTGTGTTTATGAAGCACAAAATGTTTGTTTTTGGTGCAATTGTCATAAACATATAAATTCAGTTATGTTTATTATTGAGGTCGTAATTATAGGTGGCGTTGTACTGGACTACATTATATTCCCAATATTCTGACCCTCTTATGTATGTATGTAGCTGGGGAGGACAAAAGTATAAAGACACCTGTAAATATGATGTAGTCCGGTACAACACCACCTTCAAATAATCATGTAGAAGTAGCAGGACCAGCTGCCAGACTGAAAAACTGTAAAGCTGGCCTCAGCAGCCCAGTAAGCACACTGGAATGCCCTGTCAGTATATAACTGTACAACACCCTTATGCACATAATGAAGGGTAATCACTGCTTTTAGCAGGAGAGGGAGTAATACTCCTGGAGTGTTTTCAATTGTGTAGGTGTAACATCCACCTCTGACCTTTTGTTGTCGATCCTTCTAGCCTTGTAGCCTAGAATTTGTGTGATATTGAAAGGACTTTTGTCTTGGTCTTACCTGTGAATGGTGCTATGTAGTTGTAGTTGTGCATAATACACTGTGTGGCCGTTGTTCTGTGTGTGCGTGGGTACTAACCAAGAAAAAAGTAGCAAAGTCACTAACAAGTTAATAAACTCCAGCTGGGCTTTGTTGTTCTGAAGACTATAGAGCTGAGCACATTCTCTGCAGCTTAGCTCACACATCTCCTCTTCAAACCAGAACTAAACCCACAATCAGGTTTTCTAGGTTTTTTACTAACTGCAGAGTCAAAATCATCATTTTAAGAACATGCATACTTTCCTTGCTAATAAACATTGATAGCCATTGGTGTGTATGATTCAATTTGAGCACGGTACCACTGAAAATTCAGTCCCAATAGTGTATGACTAGTTGCGGAATACTTGTACTTTATTCCTCCTTTTTTCCCCTTTTCTGGTGCTGGTTTGATTATGTACAGGGCAACCAGACATACTGACTTATGTTCTGTTAGGCTATCATATTTACAAAAAATATAAAGTCGCTGGTGTATGGAGACCACACGATATAAACTACAAGACAAAACGATATATATTGAACAGAGCAGTATATTTGATTTGATAGTGTAGATAGTTTATTCTGATATTTTGAATCATGTGCTATGAAGTACAGGTTACTTTATTGTACACAATTCCTCAGCTCATTTTCCTCTCATCAGGACATTAAATGTCAAATGTTTTTTGTTTTATATTGCAGTATTTTCAGTGTATGTTGTGTATGTTTTCTGAGTTTTCATGTAGTAGTAATGTTCTGGCACAGACAGAGTACTGTCAGATACTTTTTTTACAACATCTAACAATAAGAAATATAAACATGTTTTTTTTATAAAATCTTTTTTTTTCTTCTCAAATGTTTAATAGTTTGTCATTCTAGGAAATATCTTTGATTGCTTTCTTGATGTGCGTTGTGAGGCAGTAATATGAAAGCCATTCTCTGTTAAATATGAAACTACCACCGGCATCCAGCTTAATTTAGCATAAATGCTGTAAATGGGGAAAAACCCCAAGAAATGTTTTTGTAAAACCGCAACTTTTTAGACTAATTTTTTAGTTCATTTTTGCACATTAGTTTTTGTGTGGATTAAACAGAGAGGATCTAACATGGTACACAGTGAGCTTTAGAACTGCTGGTAGGCATATTGTCACTCAGCAAGAAAGAAAGAAGCACATTTGTGGGACTACTCCTTTAAATGTTGTTGTAACATACACTAATCAGCCACACAAGGTCTTTGCTTAAATTAAACAGTATAATTTTTTAGCAAAACTGTTATTTATAATCAGACCCTGACTGATCTTGAACATGTAAGGAAGAGTATGAATGTAAGCACTTGATGTCAGGTTTCACTGCATCACATCACAGATTTTGTTACTCCAGATCTCTGCTACAGAAACATTTGTCAGTACCAGCAAAGTGTTACAGTCTGATATCTAGCCTAGGTTTTAGTATCACAGTGTGCCAGACAAACAACCACATCATAAAGTAGATGTCTAACACTGTGCATGCACGTTAAATCACTAGAGTTAAAGAAGCCGCTCCGGGAATTTGGGTGTGCATGGGGTTAAGAGTAAGTCTGTGTGTGTGTGTGTGTGTGTGGGAGAGAGAGGCATCAGTCAAACCTCTTTTCAGCCCTTCTCATATCTCTCCCAACCACACACATAGAAACAAATCCGTTGCCAGAGAATGAGTTATAGAGTGATGGAGAGATGAGGGGGGAGAGGGAGTGAGAGAACGCTTTCTATATATAGCCCGTGTACCCGAAGAGGAGGAAGACCGTTGTTTGAAAGCACATTTGGTGTGTATGATTTTGTTCTGCGGTACACAGACTGCTGCTCAAAGGACACAGCAACAGAAACGTACACTAAATATATGCCGTACAAATAATATAACGTGAGCGGTGAGACAGGTCATTACTAGTAAAAGCAATGGCTGTTTGAAAGGCTGAAGAGAGGAGGAGCATGATTGGTCCAGTGAGCATCCACAGGAGCTGTGGACTTTGTCCCCTTCACCGCCCTCCATGGAAGGCACGTTGATTCTCAGCATGTGTTTTAAAGTGTCACTCACTGACATTCAGGTTGTCACCATTACTTTAAGCAATTAAAGCAACAATCATGACTGATGAGGGGTAATATTGTAACTCATCTCCCCTGTTACTTACATGGCCTTCAGCCTGGAAGATACCAGCAAATACACAAAATGTGACACACAAAAGCAGCTTAAATAATATGCTAATATGTTAACAATATGCCTTAAGTGCTTACTCACCAGTGTGTGTGCAAGTATGGTTGCATTTATAAGCATTATACGGTAACTACAAAGTATTTTCCTTCTGAAAAGTTATAATACTCATGCACAACTTTTTTCAGCCTTTTACTTTAAATCAACATCAGATGACAAATTCTAAAGTACTGATTTCTATTTGTATTACATAGAACAGTCTTCTCGTGGCCACATGATGCTGGTTGTTAAAAGGATGAAGATCTCAGCACCGTTTGAACCGATAAAGACCTGATAACCTGAGTTTGGAGGTTCATTGTTGACCTTGCTAAGATGCTCACCCTAAAAATAAGAAATTGTTTGTTTTTTTTCTGTTTGTGTACAGATTAAACAAATGACAAGGTGAATAAGTGAGTTTTAGCAGTGCTACTAATTTTATTTTATTACCCTTAGACAGGTTAGCTGTCCACTTGCTCCTAGTTTTTATGCTAAGTAAGGGTAATCGCCTCCCAGCTCGAGCTTCACACCGAGCATGCAGACATAAGCATGGTATTGCACAAACGCACAAACTTTTCTTGCCTTTGCCAACCTGCTGTCTCTTTAATGGAGGCTGGCTGAGTAGCAGCAGTTATTTCCAGCACCTGTGAGTGGACCTATAAATAGAGCGCGTGCACACACATTTTTGTCATTGTCTTCACCTCTGTGTGAGATGGTCTGGTTTTGACATCCAGGTGTTCTTTAGCTCTCAGTAATTTCATACCTGTAACATCTACCTAATAATGCTGTTGTTTATGCAGAAGAAACCTGCTGATTTACTGCTGTGCACACACACTTCTTCACTGTTTCTATTTATGTTTTATGCTTTAAAATATAACACTGGTTTACAGGACTTTATTTGTACATTGTAATGGTTATTTGCAGTGGTTTGTTCTTCCCTTTCTCAATATCTTTGAGACTTTGGGCATGTAATTTTAATTTAGAAAGTAGAACATCACTTCTTCTTGTTTATATATGTAATTTTCCTGGCTATTAAAAATCTCTTTCTCTCTGTCTTGTTCTGCAGCGTCAGACAACAGCCAGAGGTTTCAGGAGACATGTTTTGCCTTTGCATTAACGCCACATCAAGTCCAGCAGATCAGCAGCTCAATGTAAGAAGAAAACCACACTGTCAGTGCAGGATGCTGAGTTGTTTATGAATAATTAATGAATGTGCACGGGTTCTGTGGTTGCAAGGTAATAAATCTGTTTCTGTACTCAAAGGGACATCTCGGGGACCAAATGTGACTTCTCAGTTCAAGTTCAGTTGCGGTTTTGCTTGTCAGAAACGAGTTGTCCTCAGGAAGACCACTTTCCACCCAATCTGTGTGTGAAAGTCAACGGGAAGCCTTGTAACCTGCCGGTGAGGGGCAGTGAATTAACCACATAACCAGCAAAGTGTGGTGTGTTTGTTCTGCTGCTGTGTAACTGGATATGAAGAGTGACAGGCTTTTCATTTCAGCATTTCCACCTTTTTTCTGCCCATTTGTTTTGAACCCCAGTAGTATTATTCACCTTCATAATATTTACAACAAAAAGGCATATTCCCTCCCTTTCCTTCTAATATTCATGTCTGTCATCTAGGGTTATCTTCCTCCAACCAAAAACGGTGTCGAGCCCAAGCGGCCCAGCCGACCTATCAACATAACCTCACTGGTCAGATTGTCCACCACAGTCCCCAATACCATTGTGGTGTCATGGACCGGTGAGATTGGAAGGGTAAGGACCAAAGTGTCACAGTTTCTCACAAGGGACTTTTGAACTGCCAGTTCTGTTAATTTGTGACTGTTTTGTCAAGTAATAACGCCGTGTATCAAGTAAAACTACTAAATATTTTCTGATTTAAAAACTAGTCAGTATGTTTGTGCTGTGGGATGGTTATGAGGACAGAACTAATAGATTTGATACTACTGACTAATACATTACAAAACTTATTTTCTCAAGAATGCTCCCTTCAAAATTCAATTCACTTTGGTGACATCTTAGATGTATGGTAGATTTTTAAGGGCATGTTATAAAGAATTAGATTGACTGGGGCTTGTCACTTGTGTGTGTGGGTGAGGGTGTCAGTAGCTTAAGGATGGGGGCCAAGGCCCCCCTCGCCCCATCCAAGCCACCGCTTGTGGGAGCCATTGTTGTCATGTTGGCAGGCAGCACAGCCAGGTGACATCTCAACCTCCTTTCAGCCAGTGTCAGCTGGGATTGTTACTTTGGTGATCTTACGTTTAAAGAAAAATTGAGCGTGCACAACATTTTATTTTATTTATCCAATTATGCTAATTAGAGCAGAGTTAATATATTCATTATATGCACATAGAGTACTTGTCTTTACAGTATATAATGTATGGGAAATATTATGAACGCTTCACCTTAAACAGGTTGTTAGAGGGTTCTTTTTAAAACTGGATTAATATGCTAATTTATGCATTTTGAAGTGAACGTTTTCAAATGTGTTTGGATTGGGTACTGCCTGAGAGGCATCATGTCTTGAGTAATTATGTTCACAGCGATGATGGACATAGGCGTCACCACAATAACAACAACAGCAACAAAAAACCTGCACAAATATGTGACAGAACACATTTTGACATGAAGGCACAGTGAACTTCTATTATAATCAGTAGCTTTAAAATCAACATTCATCAAGATTACCTACAGTACCTTTCTGATGGTCTAAATGGTTGTGTGTGTGCATCACATGCATGTGTGTGGGAAGCAATTTGAAGCTCAGGAAGTGGGATTCCTGGCCACTACAGTGTGTAGTTCTTACAGCAAAAAAATGTTACACTTGAGCATTAAATGGCAGAACAGAGTAAGAGAGACTGAAACACCCCGTTCCTATGACCCTACACAGTCAAAATATTCACTGAGTGAAGCCTGATGGCACAGTTATTGACAAAATCAGCTTCTGGTTAAGCATTTTAGACCAAATGATTGATTTAGTTTTTTTTATTCTTTTTATTCTATTTTAGTTTCCTAAATGGTCATGGTATTCAATACTAGGTGAGAGAAAAATGGTATTTCAGTTTTCTGTATGCCCTGCACATATAGTGAATTGACAATAAAAATCTTTGATCTCTCAATAACAATCTGCTATCTTGTACTGCATGTTCACTTGAGGTGGGTGGAGCTGACACTGCTCTGCACATGGGCACTAGAGGGCAGTAAAGGGACCATATCACACCAGAGGTACATACTGCACACACTGGCCTAAATGTCAGTGCACAGTGCCTATGCAAGTTCTTCCCTCCCTCTGCTCTTCCTTACAAATGGCAGAACGTACACTTGCCTGAGAGCAGTAGGGTCAGCTTTACATTGGAAAGGTAATTTGCAACCTGCTTGCCCTGTTTGCATCTGGCCCTGAATTCGGACTGTGGAAGGCAAAAAAAAAAGTATCACTTAGGGCGTACTTACATTACGCATGGTTGCTTTGTACCATGCCCAAACACAGTTGTCCCCCCTCCCCCCACTGGCCTGTGCTCACACTGCATTTGAAACAATCTAGGCCAGAGCACATTTACGTCACCACAATGCAACTGAAGAGAAGCAGTCTCGCATAGCACATAGCGTTGGTGTTCCGTGCCCGTGCACAGCAAGGAGCAGTCACACTAGTCAACACACTGGACTTTGGGGTCAGATGTGCTCGAGCACAGTACGGATTGCCTAGTGTGAGTACACCGTTAGTTTGCACACTATGACACTACTGTGTTCCTGTGTGTCCGCAGAGTTACTCCATGGCAGTGTACCTGGTGAAGCAGCAGTCGTCCACAGTACTGTTACAGAGACTACGGGCAAAAGGCATCAGAAACCCAGACCACTCCAGAGCACTCAGTAAGGATTGTCAACCTCTTTTTGTAGCGATACACTGGTGCAGTAAGTGGCCAATACTGGCTCAGGGCCGACGTGACTGCTCCAAATTTAATACAATTTTGTTGCAAAGTTCAGTGTTTACACTTTGTATTTCAAGGTTTCTATTAACTTGTAATTGGCAACAAGATGCAATTTAACACAGGACAGCATACAGTATTGAGTCTCAATGAGGAACTCACTTTCTAGCACTGGATTTGGATCAGGAATCTGTGTCATCATTGATGGGTAAGAGGTGGGGTAATGGAAATGGTATTACCAGAGAATGAAGTCCACCTTGGTTTTAAAACAGGTAGTAAAGAAGCTGCAGTCTGAAATGAGGAGCATGTTTCCTAGACAAGGTTCTGTTCACTCATGTGTGTGCTTTACATCTATTCTGCAGTCAAAGAGAAGCTAACAGCAGACCCAGACAGTGAAATAGCCACAACCAGCCTTCGAGTGTCGCTGCTCTGTCCGGTAAACAAGCTCCCTGCTCTTCATGTATTTAAGGCAGTGTGTATTCAGTCGTGCCAGGGCATGTCTGTCCATTCTTGTTATTTTTCCCTTTTCTTTGTATGTGACTTGGCATATCTTCATGCACGTTAACTCCCAGCTGCATATATGGCCCACCTGCCAAGTTATCTTTTTAATCCCTATTGTGTGTCGTTTCTATATGGGTTTGGCATGTCTGTGACATTTATGCGTCCCGTATACCCTCCATCCCCGCTGTGTGTGCCATCTTTTTGCCCTGACTACTGTACATGTGTGTGCACATTGTGCAGCTGGGGAAGATGCGGCTGATGATCCCATGCCGCGCGCTGACTTGCTCCCATCTGCAGTGCTTTGACGCCACACTCTACATCCAGATGAATGAGAAGAAGCCCACCTGGGTGTGTCCTGTCTGTGACAAGAAGGCCCCATATGAACACCTCATCATTGACGGGTAAGTCATCCAACCCCCATCTTCCCATCGTACAGGTGTTTGACTTGTTAGGAACAGCAGATGCAGCCTACTGTAAATGTGGTCGATCAGAGGGAGGAACGATTAGTAAACTCAGGTTTGAACATGACATTGAATTCTTCACCTTGAAAGCAGTAGTTTGTCAAAAAGAAGGTCAAGGTAGACTTACTGTATTTCTATGGAGCTTTCAATCAGCCCTGCGCTGCTGTCTTCCACATTGGATGGAGTTTGTTCAGTTGTCATGATGGAGTTGATGGTGGTGGTGCTGCTTTTTTGACAAACTCAACGGTTGTACTCCTTGATCTAAACTATCCATGTTTAATCACTAAAAATCTTTAAAGGAATAGTTTGCCTTTTTGGGAATACTGTTTGTTTGCTTTGTTGCCGAGAGTTTCTGGTAGATATGACCTCATGTAAAACCAGACACTGGTTTTTGTTCAGATTAAACCAGTGATAATTCATTTCTTTTTAACTGAGCCAGTTGAACCTTTTCCAGTTTATGCTAAACTCATTTTACCTGCTGCTGTAGCTTTCTATTCACAGACATGAGAGTGGTTTTGTTCGTTTCATGTAATTGTGAAAAAGAAAATTTATATTTTCCCAAAATGTTGGACTATTTTTTTTTTTTATAAGAGCACCCAAATTGTCCAACTAGAAAAAAATGAACAGATTAGTGAGATTAATTGTTGTTAACCTTGCAAAAAAGAAGTTTGATAAAAAATATCAACTCAGGGTTCTTTTACTAGCTTGTGTGACCTTCCTCAGCCTCTCCTCCTCAGCAGCAGAAACATGATGTCATTAATTTGTTTTGGTCAAACAGAGTTTTCATGCTTCCTAATCTAAATGATACTTGGTAAATCTTTTAAAACATTTATCCATAATGATTGCTACTTTATTTTGAAAGGAAACACTTGTTGGTATATTCCTTTAATCACTGAAGGGGTTTCTCTCCAGCGTTGATGTTAGCCTGTTTACAGGAGATTTCTTGTCTTTCAGAATTCAATTAAAGTTGAAGGTCTTTTCCACTGTGCTCCGCCTTTGTTTAAAAAGTGGCCATTTCTGTGTGTTTGTCTGCATTTTCTTGAATGGGTTTGTGTATGGCGTGTGTGTTTGTTCTCAGGCTCTTTGTGGAGATCCTCAACAGCTGCATGGACTGTGATGAGATCCAGTTTAAGGAGGATGGTAGCTGGGCCCCCATGAGGTCTAAGAAGGAGGTGCAGGAGGTCTCCTCTGCTTCTTATAACAACGGGCTGGATGGTGAGACGGGGCATAAGGACAGATGGGGACAGGGTATAGTAAGAAATAGAAAGGTTGCTTTTACATTAAGGCAGTGCGGGGAGGCTGGAAGTAATTAAATCAGGATTAAAGAGAATAAAAAGAGAGAGAACATGCATTTATATCCCCTCCTTCTTTGTTTAGCCACTGTCAGTTTTAATTTGGTGAAGCATCAATCATAATGCCACTGTGTAAACTGCCTGTCTCCATAGTAACAAACATACTGGGTCTCTTATGAGAGCATGGGAAACATCTGTGTTCCTGCTCACGGTATTCGGCATTGCTTTGTTTTTTCCTGTGCTGTCTCTGAATATCATAAATGTGGGCATACAGAAACAAACGAGCCTGTCTCTCTAGGTTCATGCCGGACGTCCGCAGACTCAGATCAACGGAGCTCCTCGTCGTCCAGCCACGGCGGCAGCGACAGCAGTAACGGCAAAAAAGTGGAAGTGATTGATTTAACACTGGACAGCTCCTCAGACGATGAAGGACAGGATTCGCCGCCTCCTCCTCCGCCACCGCCACTGCCTCCTCCGATCAAAAGAGCATGTCCTTCCTTGTCCCCAACCTCGCCCCCCATCATCAACAAAGGGTCAGACACACACATATATATAGAACTGTGATTTTTTACCTCCACAAACAGCTTGTATTTCATTAAATGTGAACATGAGTCTGATTTTTAGCTGCTCACATGGGTATAGCCTAATGAAGATTTGGATTAAGGCTCTGTCGAACTTTAACAGCTGCATTTTCTGTCAAATGAAAATTCATTATTTGCATCTGAGTAGCAACTGCTGCTTCTGCATTTGACTGTAATGAACCCTGTTATTACAGAGATGTATGTTTCAAGCTCAGTGGAGGAGACGGCACTCCCTAACCTAACCGATAAATGTGACATGAAATAAAATCCTCATTATAAATTAAGTGGCTTTTTCCCTCCTCATCTCTGAACCACCTCCTCTGTGTCTGCCGTCAGAGTGTTGAACCTGCACCACCAGGCCTCTCCTGTGAACCGTGCCCCCAGCATGCCAGCGGTGGACACCAGCTACATCCCCCCTGTCCCCCCACTTATCCAGGATTACAGGCCATACTACCACCCCCCCAGTGACCTGTCAGGTAAGCGCAAACACATGCAGAATCTAGAGGATTTTGGAATATTCACAGCAGCACGTTCATTACTCACAATGATAAAAAAGAAGTAACATGACATACAAATACATAACACATGGACAACTCAGTGAAACTAAGCTCCTTTCTTCCTGAGAAGTGTTTTTTTTTTCATGCATACTTGCATACCCTTGGTATGCCACAGAATAAAACTTAAGAACCAGTGAAAAGCACTGAATTCTTGTTTATTCTACAAGTCTAGAAGTGATGATAAATAAGTGGACTGTAGTAGCATTGGAAGAAGACTATTTTCTTCAGTTGTCATCGATCTTATAATCAGTCCTTCGTTATTTAACTAGAGAAAAGTAGACATAGTGTTGTTTGGTATCAGAAACAAGAGAAAGGAGAGTTGTCTGAGGAGCTAAAGAAGAAAATGTTTTCTAAGAATGGTGACGATCAAGGCTACAAGCTGCTTCATGCTCCTGTGAGCACAGTTGCTAATAATATCAAGACGTTTAAGGTCCATGATAGAGCCACAGCCAGCCTCCCTGGATGTGGCTGCAAGAAGAGAAATGAGCTCGGGTTGAACAGAAGAAGATTTTGAATGGTGAAAAGAAAAGGAAAACTCTTAAGGTCAAGGTACAACAGTATCCAGTTAAATGTTATTTTCTGAATGAAGCTAGGCTCTATGGAGGAAGACCCCTACCTCTGAAAGAGAAACAAAAATACTGGCTGGAGTTTGCTAGAATGCATATTGACAAGTAGCAGTGTTTCTGGGAGAGGGTCTTCTGGACAGATGAAGCATAGTGGGAGCTTTTTGGTAAGTCACGTCATCTGTGTGTTCACAGAAGAAAAGCTGAAGCTTTCAAAGATGAGAACACCTTCCCCACTGTGAAACATGCAGGAGGCTCAGTTATATGATGAGGTTGTTTTGTTGCACCTGGCACACAGAATGCCTTAAATCTACGCAGGGCACAATGGAATCAGAAAGTTGTCAAGGCGTTCTGGAGCAAAACACACTGGCAGAGTTGTGTCTCAGTCACAGGTCACGGCTCCTCCAACACGATCCGAAAGCACCAAGAGTGGGTGAGGATAAGACACCGGACTGTTCAGAAGTGACCTGCTATGAGTCCAGATCTTAATCCAACTGAATGTCAAGAGGAGTAGATCAAACTACAAAATAAATGATACGATTGAGATTGATTTAAAAAAATACTTTGATCATAGTGATGGGCTGAAAAGGATGTGCTACAAAATGTTAGGTTAAGGCTCTGAAAGTTTTTGTCAAGTCATTTTCATTTCCTGCATTTTTATGCAGTATGTTACAGTGACATTGCAAAAGCAGCACATGTTTTCTGTTAACTGTGTGACGGAGGAGACGTAGATGTGCCAGTTACCTTTGTCAGTTTCAGAGAAAATAGTTTTTTTTTTCTTCAAGTGGAAGGACACCAATACTTTTAGACACATCTGTAACAGTATTTACTTTTACATTCATCCTTTTCCAAGCTGTTCTATCTTTACACACATGGTATGCACCCACGTTTTGTTCAAACTCTCCCAGCTTTTATAAACGTTTTAAAACACTTGTATTTGCATTTGTGAAACTGATTTTCATTGATATTCATTGATTTCCAGAGCTGAACTTCTTCTCTTTTCTTCAAGGCGACAATCATCAGGTACGTACCCCGGTGGCACTGTCTGGAGATGTTGAATTCACCAGTTGGAAGACTTTTGCTTTTGGTGAAATTTTGAAAGCCTGTGACCATGGTTCATTTAAAATTAATACGAAAACTGTGACTCTATACATAACCAAAAAAAACCTTTTGTGCTCACCAGAAAATCAAATAAAAGCTCCAGAACGTTGTTTCTTGGTAACAAACTTCCTCTCTGAATGGGCACAAGGCATCTGAAATCCCCTGTGCACATTCAACCACCTAAAAATGGGGAAAAGACAATTTTGAAGCCTGATATTTGGTGGAATTGCATATAAAATGTCATACAAGTCACATGTTTTTAAAAGTTCTTTAATATTTCATTTTTAGACAACTCTGGCACATTATGCTTCTTACCTGCACTAGCTAACTGTGACATAAGTCAGACCTTAATGACTTGTAGTCCTCTAGAGTACCACAGACGTCTCCCAGACTTAGAGTAGGAGCTGCTTTTAATGCTGAAATGCTTTGTGAAGATGCCTTTAGAGTGTGGCCCACTCTGGAAGGTGGTCTAATAAAGTCCTGGTTAGCGATCTGTGTCAGGTTGTTCCATATTACACTAAGGCATATCACATTGTGCAGTGAATGTTTGGTGAATCGTAGTACTGTGATTAAATGAACAAAAGCGTATGAAAGCAAAGACAGGTATCGGTTTACTTCTGCTCTGCCCTTGCATTATGAAAGCGGAACAAAACAAACAAGCTTTGACCAGAGTGCTGAAACTTCACCAAAGCCCCTTCTCAGCCATCAGTGGATGTCTGACAGCGTGATCTAGGACCACCATTTTGCCATGTTTCTCTCGCAACTGTCAGCTGACACCTCAAACAGCCTAAGTGTCAAGAGGTGTCTGGACTAAAAACCAGCATGGCCCTTGTTTTCAGGACTTTTTCCTAACTCAGTTGCTCAGGTTCTGCTTTTAGTGTTTGGTGAATACAATCCCGGACTAACACCTTCTCTTCTCATGTGTTACTCCCATGGTTCAGCATTACAACATGGTGATGGCAGCAGCGGCTGCTGCTTCAGCCTCAGACGACCACGAGCTGCTCCTCAATCGCTTTCTGCCCTACAGCACCTCCTCCTCCTCTGCCTCCCAGCTGTTTCTTGACCAATCAGGAGCCTCCTCAGCAGCCACTTCGCTCACTGTGCCGACCAACGGGGTGAGCAACTCGGGTGGAGGCAGCTTGGTCTCACCTGGCAGCCTCCATGACACTCACTCCACACACTCGGGCTCACACTCCGCACACACACTCCCTGGGGTGGTGGCCAGCCGCAGCAGTACAGAGGCAGCAGTGGCAGCTATTTACGGTGGTATACCTGACGTGATATCTTTGGACTGACTCAGAAAGAGTCAAGGATACACTTTGGGTCCAGGTACGATCCATTAACAAACCCAATCACAGACTGTTTGATTGCAGGGTAAAAGTTTTGATCCAGAAAACTAGACTGGCCCCAAGTCATCAATTCCGGACATCCGTGGAATCATGAAGACAAGACCGCCTCAAGAAGGGCGCTAATGTTATGAGTGGGCAACAGGCTGAGGGTTCCCTTCGCTAGATTGACCTCTGAGACCAGTACTGACTCGTAACTACATGGGCTAGCTGTGGACGCTGTGTTAGAATACTGACTTCAGATTTGAAACCTGTCCAGCATGTGAACCCTTGTTGCTGCTACGTGTATACTGGTACCAATCTGGCACAAACAGCAAAGATGCTACCTGAGCAAAAACACAAAGGAAAAATGCTCTTTTTTTTTTACAAAAACAAGCCGTGGCACCATGTACAGAGAACAAAATATATTTTCCTCTTTTACTTTTATATGTTAAATTGGGACATTTACAGTCTAGTGAGCTGCTTCAGTTGCTGTTTTTAAGTGGAGAACTGTTTTTTTTCCTCACAGAAGCTTATACATAATGCCTGTTGCCATGTGGTTATCAGTTTTCTTCTCTTTGAGCTCTTTCCTGTAGAAATTTTCCTTTTGCATTTCTACAGTATAAACTTCAACTCTCTCTCCCTCTCTTCTTCTCTTGTTTTAAATTCACAGTGTATTATTTCTTGACAAGAAACGACAAGAACATTTCATATGCTGAATTTACAGTTTAATCATGTACTAATGTTTTTATGCTTTTAAGTTATGTATGATATTTAAACAGTGATATATATATGTAGGCATTCCCTTTAACCTTCAGGTTAATTGTGTGGGGAGTGTGCAGGTGGGAAATGAGCCATTTCTGGTTTATTTCGCTCCTTCATTTCCAACTCCTTATAAAGACATACAACATTTAAAAATGTATACTTCTAGACTATTTATACTTATACTAATTTAGAATTTTGAGCTGCAAAAGTTTCTTTTGCTTTCTTTTTTTGCACAATGCCAAAAAAATTTACTTATGGTACTTATGAAAATTCTCACAATAATCAGATTGCAGTCACATTTATCTTTTGCCACAGTGTTTTCAGTCAAGTATCTGCTTCTTCAGCTGTGTTCCTTTGTCTTTTTTTAGTTTCATGTTTTTCATTTGACTGTTAGAAATGAATTATGAAGAAGATTAAGCTGCTGAAGCAGCGTCAGGCATTTTAAAGAGACAGGCATCCATGATGTGTACCACAACTCTGCTGGGATGAGGTTAAACGGGTGCCTGATTCGCTGCATGTTTGGGAGGTTTTTCAATCTCAGTATGTTAAATGGTCTCCTCCAACCTGTGCCCCACCCCTGTCGACACATTTCGTGAAGGTTTGACTTTTGACTGATATCTTTAACTGTCTAGGGAGTTATCTTTGGGAAAATGAGTGTAAGCTGGTTGTGTAATACCACAGTGAAAGAGGGAGATCTCACCATGGCACAGAGCCAGCTGGTTTAAAAATACATGACCTGCGTGAAACCCTACAAGATAACCACTGTATGATGTGGAAGTGTCAAAGCGAGGTGCATAGTATTTTGGATTACCTCCATGTTGTCGCCATTCAACTGAAAACACAGGGTTTGCTTATGAATGTATTGTACAATTTGGGGTCTTTTCTTCCATTATGGTTATTAACAGAACCACGTTGTAGAGATCCGCTGTAGCCGTGGGCACAGCGCTATTGACGCACAGCAGTCAATAGCGCTGTGAAACATTCCCAGAGTCCCTTGTTAGCAGTCTCTTCCTGGTGTTTTACTTCCAGATGTCCAAGACAGGCAGCTCACTTCAAAGCTAAGTGTCCCCACCACAATGAGATAATTACTTTTGTCAGCAGCCCCCGTCACCTGGCATCCTTCAGCAACCAGAACGACCCTGCCTTGCTCCCTCATTCTTGACATCCTTAATTTTATTCCCTATTCTTCTCATAAGAATCAACCACGGTTCTGAAACTGACCCAATCATTTGCTAGAACAAGTCTTGTGTATTTCCCGTGTTGTGCAGTATTTTATTTATTTTGTGTTCTATATTCTATATATTGTATTTTTATAGATTGTTTCATTTCTGTGAGAGAGAGAGAGAGAGTGTGAGTAGCTCTCACTCAGGAGCTGTTGTGACAAGATTTTATTTAATATGCATTTTATTATTCTTTGTGAGCAGCGTGATTTCTCAAATTTATTGTTTAGTTACGTTTTATGTTTAGTAACGTGCTTAATTAATAGGGGCATAAGTCTGTGCTCGTGATATAATATATGAAATGATTCAGGATGTATTATGAGTTCCTGTTGCTCACCATTAAGAAACAATGAGTTTATGTAATTAGGTAACATTGAAGGCTCAATAATTGACCAACTCACTTTTATTAATGGCTAAATACCTGCAAAACTAAATACAACCCCAAATCAGAGAAAGTTGGGACCATATGTAAAATCAAAATTAAAACTGAAAATAGTGATTTGTAAACCATCTGTGTCCTGTATTACATTGAAAACTATACAGCAGCACATTATTTGATGTCATACCTCATCAACTTTATTCTTTGTTCAAAATAAACATACTTCATTTCTAATGCCTGCAACACATTGTGAAAGAAGTTGGGACAGTAAAGTGTTTTTAGCATGATGTGATGTCGTTCCATTTCACTTAAACGTCTTAAGGTGTCTTAAGGTCTTTGTTGTGTTTCAAAACGCGCCACACATTCTCTACTGGGGACAGGTCGGGACTGCAGACAGGCCAGTCCAGCACTCACACCCTTTTCCTCCACAAACAGGCCTTGGTCATGTGCAAAATGAGGTTTTGCATTGTCTTGTTGAAATGTGCATGGGCGTCCCTGGAAAAGATGTCGTCTTGAAGGCAGCATATGTTGCTCTAAAATCTCTTTGTATTTGTCAGCATTAATGGTGCCATGACAGAGGTGCAAGTTACATTTGCCAAGGGCACTGACACAACCCCAGACCATGACAGACCCTGGCTTTTGGACTTGATGCTGGTAACAGTCTGCGCCTTTTTCGTTTTTGGTCTGGCGCACATCCATTCCTTCCAGAAGAGTCTTGAAATACTGATTCTTCTGAGCACAGTACACGTTTCCACTGTGTGATGGTCCATCCCAGATGCCTCCGAGCCCAGAGCAGTCGACTGCACCTCTGGACACTGTTGACATAGGGCTTCCTTTTGGCCCAGTACAGTTCAGTTTTTAGTGGCATTTATGGATGTAGCTACGTATTGTAGCATTGTTTTCCATCATTACTAGCCCTGACATGCAACTGTCCCAACTATTTTTGAAATCAAATAAAATTGAGATATCCCGCCTTTTTCGTTTCTGGTCTGGAGCACATCCATTCCTTCCAGGAGAGTCTTGAAATACTGATTCTTCTGAGCACAGTACACGTTTCCACTGTGTGATGGTCCATCCCAGATGCCTCCGAGCCCAGAGCAGTCGACTGCACCTCTGGACACTGTTGACATAGGGCTTCCTTTTGGCCCAGTACAGTTCAGTTTTTAGTGGCATTTATGGATGTACTGAATATGGTCAGTTTTACCTGCTAAACATGTTAGCATTGTTATTGTGAATGTATTAGCATCCCGATGTCATTATTTGGCTCAGAGTACTTGCGCTTTACTTTCGGTTTATGACAAAATAGGCCATATCTTTATTCAGTCCCAGATTGATTCAGTGTGGAGATCAGGACGCTGTGGGGGCTATGCCATCTGTTGCAGGACGCCAGCTATATGTTCGGGATCATTGTCATACTGCAGAATGAGTTTGGGACCAGACACTTTCCTGGTGGAATTACATGATGCCTAAGATCTAAACATCTGAAATGCCAAAAACGTTTGCACACTATTGTATATTTACAAAATTTAAAATGACTTACCTGCTAACTTACAACAATCAGCCATAATATTATGGCGGTTGGTTAGTGCTCGTGTCACACTGAGGCTCACAGCGCATCTTGTGTGAATCTGTATGATTCTATAGTTACACTGTCAAGAAAAGCATGAATTTGATGAATTTGTCTACATTTAGTGATAAAAATATGCAAAAGGAATGAAAGTTTAGCAGTCTCCACTCTAGATTTCTCATTTTGGCCTATTTTAATAAAGATTCAAACAAAATGGAATCTTTTGAAAAGGATGAATGAAATGTAAAAGCTTATTTTACAGTAGATCAACCTCATTATCAGTGAGCCGTGGGCGTCCATGACCCTGTTTCTGGTTCACTGTCTGTCCATCCTTAGACACTTGGTAGGGACTAACCACTACAGACTGGGAACACCCAACACGACCTGCAGTCTGGGAGATGCTCTGACCCAGTCATCAGTCATCACAGTTTGGCCCTTGTCAGAGTCACTCAGATCCCGGCACTTGCCTGTTTTTCCTGCTTCCAACACGTCAGCTTCAAGAACGGAATGTTCACTTGCTGACTAATATACCCCACACACTGATACAGTAGGTGTCATTGTAGTGAGACAATCAGTGTTATTCACTTCACCTGTCAGTGGTCATAACGTTATGGCTGAGAGGTGTATGAATGTGACATAAAGACCAGAGTCAGACAGCAGTGTGTGTGTGTGTGTATGTGTTTGATTTTAAAAAATCCTTACATTTTTATTTACTTAGCCGTCCCTGGTAGGCTAGTGGTTAAGGCGCAGAGCTCTCACCGCTGCGGCCCGGGTTAGAATCAGGGTTGTGTCAGGAAGGGCATCCGGCGTAAAACACATGCCAAATGTCAACATGCGAGTCGTCAGTGTGACAATTTCCTGTGGCGACCCCTAAACGGGAAAAGCCAAAAGTGACTTTCCTTACATTTCTATTTACTTACAGAGAGGTTGATCAAATGCATAATGTTAAAAATGCATGGGTTTCCTAGTGCAGGGGTGTCGTATACTGTAACTGGACTGCAGATAATTTGAAGGCATTTGAGTTATTCATTATGGGTTGATCCATCTTACCTAATCAGATAAACTCACTGTAACTTTAGCAT